TCAAGGATTTTGCCCTCCAGTTCACTATATCTTCTAAAATATCAATAACCAATTTAATACCTGTCTTAGCCCCACCTGACAACTGTGGTGTGGCTCCATCGCAACAGTTTAGCCAAGGTTCAGGTTAAGTGTGCCCTGCCTTTCCTCTTCTAGAAAATGAGCAAGGTGATATGTAACGCTAATTTAGCACAGCCAGCATCTGGAAAATATGGGATTTTGGAGAAGATACTCAGTTTGAAAGCACTTCAGGAAGGAACACTTCCATCTTTCTAGCCCAATACTGTCAAAAGTTTGTTGCCTGTGCCTAGACTTTGATATACTACTTTGAGTATGGCATTTTGGCAGATACTGCGTTTATTTTCATTTCTTTTCCCCTGGCATCTTCCTTTGTCCCTGTTCTCATCACTTTTCCATCACTTCAGTAACCACAGTTCTCGGAAAGGTAGGATAGCTGCTGCAGGATGGACACCTCCTGCCAAACTCTGGTGATTTAGAATAAAGTTCTATCTTCCTGGCACTTTTGTAACTGCGTGAGTCTGGGTAGGGAGCCTGCCTGTGTGGTGGGAAGAACCCCTTGCCTGTCGGACTGTCCCTCAGCTCTCCGTGCTACAAGAAGGCAGAGTTCTGTCTGTGCTCTGACTTCTGGAAACACTGGGATTCATTCCGACTGACATTTTGATTAAGCAATAAGATTACTTAAAAATGAAGCCAACTAATACTGAAAGGATTAAAACCAAGTTAAGCATCATGTCTCCAAAAGTAAAGATGGAACCGTTGCAGAGTGGGGGGGTTTCTGCTGGGAAGGATCTGAAAGGTTCCAGAGGATGGGAGCAAGCTGAGCGCAGCCCTGCAGCCAGAAAAGCTCCTGAGCAGAAAGGGGGGTGCAGGAGTGGGATGGGGTGGGGTGGAGTGGGGGGAGATGAGAGGCGCTTCCACTACTGGCCCCATCCCATCCAGCTCTCTGGAATGGCTGGAGGGGCAGCACCAGCTCCTCTGCTCAGGGGAGCTTGGCCTGAGGGGAGAACCTTCTCATTGGGGGTGGGGGAACATGGGCCCTCTCTGGTCTACGAGCTCACAAGTTGAGTGCTTCTGGTGCTTGTTAGTATTGACTCTCCAAAGACCCCAAATTATCACTTGTGAGAATATTTAAATTGCATCTTTAAGATACACCTACTAGAGGACAGTTGGAGTTCACCTGTGAAAGCCCTTCCTTGCCTCTGAGATCTCAGCCCAGGCATTATCTACAGCAAAACTGAGGACAGCTGAGAGGAGCAGCGCACTTGTAGATGTGTTCCCCAAATGTTCCTATGCCTGGACACCACCAGGACAAGGAGGGGAACACTGGGGAGTGGGCTGTGCTAGGATAGAATTTGGCAGCAAAAGGGACAGATGATCAGTGGAGGGTGATGCCAACACCCTCCAATGTGTCACCCTCAGTAACCAACCCCTCCAGTGGTATCACAGCAAGCCCCATGGCTCCCTGCTGGCCATGGGGACAGCATCTGCCTTGTCCCCAGTAAAGTGTGCCCACCTAGCACTCCATCCCCTCCTGACACCACTTGTCCTCTTGCCCTGTGGGGACAGCTCAACCTCAGCAGTGTGTTCCTGCACCTGTGGCTGCTGGCGGCTGTAGAAGAGTGAGTGGGTGCCTTCATCCGCAGGGAGAGGAGAGGTAATGAGCCTCCTGATTTCCCAGCAGCTGATGCCTGAGTAATGGCTCTTAATTGGGTTCTCTCTGCAAAAATCCTCTCCCAACAGCCTCAGGAGAGGTGGCATTGCCACAGGCTGTGCCTCCCCGTGCTCTCTCCACTGCAGGCTGTTTTGGGGGAGCAAAGAGGAAAGGATAAGCTAACTGAAGAGATGCACTGCTAAATGATTTTTAATTTTTTTTTGACAGAAATAGACGACTTGCCCTGTCTCAGATAATTAGCTATTTCCTTACTGGGTTACTGTGAAGGGAAAACACTGACTGTGCCATTAAGTGAGCCGAAGGACTTATTCTGCTTTTATTACCCTGTGTCTCTTCTCACTAGCCTCCAGAGGACAGATGGGAGGAGAACTGAGGCATTTCTGCCCCATCAGCATGGTTACAATCCCATCCACCAACCTGTGCTGCTCAGGGAGCAGGTGGTAGCTTTGCCTCTGTAAGGGGCTTTGTCCTCCCAGGAATGAAGGTGCAGGGAGTGCAGCAGGAAGGACACCCCATGTCCAGCCCTTGTGGTTTCCACATAACCCACCTCGGGGCTGACCCTAAGGAGAGCAGGTTGGCTGGGAGGACCAGTGAATCCCTTTGTCTGGGGACAAAGTCTTGTCTCCCCCACAAATCCCACCAGCTTCTTTCCCCTTCTCCATACCATCACCTCATCCCTGAGGGAAGAGGAGCAAGATCCAGTATGGTCCCAGCATCCCTTGTTATCACACCCCAGCCCCCATTTGTAGCCAATGGCCCCATTCTGGTGTGCCACAGCACTTGCCAAGGGACGAGCAGTGTGAGCAGAGCTGGGGGAAGGCGGTAGCTCAGATGCGTTGGTTGGTAGCTTTCTTCTTGGCTGCATCCCAGAAGGAGGCAGGATTCAAAGGCTGCCCCCACCCTTGGGCACAGAGTCCACGCTGTCATTAGCTGCTTCTGAAGAGAAAGGCCTGCTGGGAAGTCCTCACCTTGACCTTGCAGAGGTTAAAAAAGGAGCCCAAGCTGAAAGACACTGTTTTCCGCTGCTGGCAAAAGAAACCAAAACCCAGTGCACCTCAGAAACTGCTGCTCTGAACTCCTGGCTGAGTGAGGAGCATCTCCAAGGCAGGGGAAGAATGGGGGGAATGTTGAACCAGCCTAGGGAATGGGTCTGGCCTGGTCCCCAAGGTCTTGTCCTCACAGCAGGGAGGGCATCTGGGACACCTGGTCATGACATTTCTTGCAACCCAAAAGCCACTCAGTGTTTGAGGCAAGAGAGGGGTGTTTGAGCACATATTTGGGGAGATGGGGAATGAATAAGCTTTCTAGTGACTTTCTGTGTCTGTTTCTTGGTGTCACTGCCTTAGGACAATGGCTGGGAGTACTAGTGGGGTGACTGGGCCAGGGCATAGTCATTTAGGGAGCCATGGGCAGAAGGGTGATGGGACAGGGTTGCTGGGGCCAAGGTTGCAGGACCGCATCTGTGTTGGGGGTGCTGGACAGCACAGGGACAGGCACCCACAGCCAGCTGGTGAACTCGGTTGCAAATAGATATCCTAATTATGGAGAACACATTATTCATGAATGGAGGAGTTATTCTGATATGTCGTGGGACTCTTCAGCACCTCTTTTTAAAAAGGATGCAGGGAAGGGCAGCAGCTTGTGGTGTACACCCTTGTAAGATATCACTGTTTAATTGACCCTCCTCCACCTCCTTCTCAGAGAACCCTAAATCCTCCCTCATCAACCACCAGAAATCTCACTTCCCCATCGCCCCTTTGCACAGGCACAGATGGTCTCTGCACTCACTGCCCTTTGCATCACCTCGTAGAGCTGTGACCTGCCAGACTCCCTGTGTTCCCTTCTCCTTTCTGGGCTAGACATGTTTCCACGCCAGGACTTGAGGCTATTCCTCCTTTGCCCCTTCTGCCCTCATTTGCATTTCTGAGTATTCCCTCTGAGATCAGGACCATTACAGGGCTCTGCTGTAGGGCTAGGGGTCCCAGCTAGGAGAGGGACCCCTTTTCTGAGAGGACAGGAGGGAGGAGGTGAAGAGACACCTCTTCCACAGCCACCAGCATGGTTTAGTTTTACATTTTTTTTTTAAGCCTAATCAAATTTCTGGAGCTTGCATGTTCCCTGACTGCTGTGTCTTGTTGCCTTTTTGCCTCCTTACCTTCTGCTCAGGCGGCTGCAGCAGACGCTGTGAGTCTATAATAAGTTATTCAGCAGTGATCTCCATGCTGGTCCTCAGATTTCAATTTCCACTTTTCCCTTCAGGCTGTTTCCAACTAATTTCTCCATTTGCATAATGCCCCCCTTAGGGATGCTCTGGCACAGCCCCTTCTCCCTCCCCCTCCCTTGACAAGATCATCAGAGATTCAGGCTATTAGTGGAAAACACTTTAATTCTGTTGGCCCTTTGGCCTGGTCCTTCCCCAGGCATCTCCAATTAAAAAAGTCGAAGAAGCCCATGGGGAGTGGGCTGGGGGCTGCAGATCCCCCTCCCCCCTGCCCATGGCAGCCCCCAGAGGAAACCAGCTGGAAGAATTACAAATGCAGAGGCAAATGCATTTTCTTATTGTAGATTTTCATCTAGCAGCCCCAGTGATTTTGTCTGTACCAGAATTGGTGGGAAGATCCCACCCCTGCCCCCCAGCTGGGGGTGCTTGAAGGGGATAGACAAGGAGGGCTTTAGCTGGGTCAGCACTGAGCTGCGGGGTTGTGGGGCTGGTCTATCCTGCTGCGTGGGCACCCACAGACATCCCTTCTCTGAAATAGCACTCTTGTTCTGCTTGGTTATTTGGAGAGATGGACATCCAAGATGGCTGAGCACATGCAGGACAGGGCAATGAAAACTGTCACTTGACTGCTGGGTGAGTCTGCCCCTTATCACTCCTCTCTAAGCCACCTCATCTCTTTTGGATACCCCAGCCCTTCCCTGCAAATTCTGTCTCTATCATCAGAAGCAAGATCTGCTTGTTCCCTCCTATATGTGTATTCTTCTGCTACTCTTCAAGCACATTTTATTTTATGCTTCTACTCTACACACAGTAGCCTGAACACACACAATGCTCCAGTCTCTCTCTCCCTAATTCTCGTCCTTTCCACAGAGGGAAAAAAGCCCACACCACCATCCCGCTCTCAGTGTTAGTTGCTCACTATGATCTACATTGAAATACATCTCCCTCCAAGTTGCCCAGACACCAGCTAGATTATAACTTCCTTTGAGAACAGCGTAAACACCTCCAGGTTTAAGTAAGCGTGGCACTCCTGCAAAACTCACCTCTTTGCTAGCCAGCTCCACGTTCTTATAAACAGAGACTTCTCCTCTGCTTTTTTTATTAGCTCTTCCATGTTATAAAATGTGATGGGAACTTTCAGACCAGCTTCTGTACAGGTCTCTGATGCACTTCTCTCTTTTATGGCTCAAGTACAACAGCAATTGCAGACATTAGCATGCTTCTTTAGTATGAAATGTACATTTGAATGGCACCCAGCTGGAGGAACATGCTGCGCCTCTTGCAAAGCTGGCTGCAGCCTGCCCAGAAACCTTGGGAAGGAAGTGAGGGGTGTCTAGAGTTTGCCTGCAGTCCCCTGCACACGAGGGAAAGAGGCAACAGGGGAGCCATGGCCAGGGAGAGGAGGGACGGTCAAGGTAGATGCTGGGGAATAGGGGGGGAGGCACAGCCTCTTAATGCCTCTTTAGGGCAGCCATTACCTTCATACCCACTTCTGAAGCACTTAATGTGTCTCCAACAATATACAAGTAAGCAAAAGGGGATGCTGGGGATTTCCTTGTCAGCAGAGGCTTTAGGATGGATGGAGATATGCCTCTCTGAGGCATGGGAAGGAGTGTGTTGGGGTCACTCCCTGTGTCTTGGACTCCCTCCATGTCTCTTCCTGTTCTGGATCTCATCCTCTTGCAAACAGCACTCCCACCTCAGACTCTGCATGTCGTGTCAGCCTTTTCTTTCCATCCCTCTTTGTGTGCAGGGCCCTGACCTAGTGCCAAGAGTAGAATCCTTCAGGCTCACATCCCTCCCAGGTTACTTCTTGGGTAGAGATTTCAATTACAAGTCTTTTTAAGGCCCAACACTCTGGGATGGCAACCTTATGGGGGCTCAGACTTGGGATCATCATGACAGTCATTATTAACATGGAGAAAACACTGCTGTCTTTACCAGCCTGCACCAGAAATGGAAGAGATGTTGTGCAACCACCAGCCTGCCTTCCTCCTTGCTTCTGGGATGGGCCAGCAACTGGGATTTCTCCTGTGGATCAGGGGTCTGTCTGCAGAGGGATATGTTAAGCATGCCCTCTGGTCTTGTCCATGCTCTGTCCTCCTACTTCACTGCATCTGAGGAGCCAGGTGCCACCCCCTTGGTGCTGAAGTGAGAATGTTGTCCCCATTACAGGAGTCTGGAGACCCCACCAGGGCTCTGGCCTCCTGGAAGAAACAGCAGTCATTCCCTGGCACCATATCCCCTCTCCTCCCTGTGTGCCTCTTCATGGGCAAAGCTTGGGCACCAGCAATGGATCTCCCAGCTACAGGGCTGAGAAGGGAAGCTGTGGCCCCAGATGAGGGGTGGTGGCACCAGCCCAGCAGCAGCATGCAGTTTCTCTCCTGCACAACTTCCACCAGGCAAACGTGCTCCTCCTGGTCCCAGAAGCCAGACTGGTTCTTAATTCCCTGTTGTTGGATGGTGGCACACTGCAGCCTTGGAGAGAACAGGGATTTACTGTTTCTCTGAAAGGAGAAAAAACCTGCATAGGGCATCCATGCCAGGGTCTGGCTGTGCAAGCAGCCTTTGCAGCACTGGTGCTCTGTGCTCCACAGGAAAGCTCAATCCCAGGAGGGCCGGCAGCCAGTGATGTGCAGGTGGCAGCTATACGTGGCCCCCTTTCGAGAGATAAGCAATCAGTGCTACCACCACCCCGATGTACACTCCTGTGCCGATGGTTATGGAGAGCGCGGCAAGGAAGAGAGCTCGGCGAGAAGCTGAACTGGCCAGATGGAAATCTCCTTTGGAGACAGCCTTGCTGGTCTGGAAGGAGAAGAAATGCTTGTTGCTCACAGCTGTAACAACCTGGCCTTTTACTCAGCATGCAATTGTTTCACTACTGAGTCAGTCCCTTTCCCTAGTCACTCTGTCCCACGGGCTGGGAATAGACAGCACGGTGTTTGCCAGCCCGGAAGGGCTCAGAACAGCAGTGCCACCTACACACATTTTCCTGTGGATTTTGCCTCCTAGGGAAGTGTGGGCTTCAGTTGCTTGTCTGAAAGCACCCATCTGGGCACTCAGCCAGAGCTGTGAGCAGAGGCTGGACCCTTGTAAGAGCAGACAACTGGTTGGTGCTTGGGGTGATGGCTGTGTGTCACTGACTAGATAACAGTATACCCTGTACAGGTATGTATCGAGTACTGTCTAGTCTCACGGAGTGACTCTGGACAGCGTGCTCCATTGGTCCACCACCCTCTCCAGCCTCTGCCAGCCTGGCATTGGCTCCCACAGCTTAAGCCAATGCGCATCAGAAACAAGCACAAGAGAGGAGCTGTAGTGTGATATGGACACCAGGATCTCCTTTGTGTCCAATCTCCAGAGCAGCTTGGTTCTTGTGGCATGAGCTGCCTCAGTCTGGGTCATGGTGTAGAACCTCTGCACTGGAGAGGGGGAGGACAGGTGGGAAAATGCCGGGGTGAGAAGCTGGGCAAAGGGCCAAGAGCAACTCCAGTTTCCTAAATAACACCCAGAAGAGGCAAAGGAAAAGCCTGACCTCCAGCAACCCACACCAGAGCTAGAGGGTTTGCAACCCCACAACAACTGTGGAGACATCCAGGATCACCCTTTGCCCCAACCCTCAGAGTTATGGCCATGGCACAGATGAGCCTTAGATCCAGAAAGGTGCTGGCCACCTCCAGGGCTGCTGTGGCTTGCAGGGCCCTTGCTCCAGCACTCAGCACACACAGGCAAGCAATGGGATCTCTTACCCCTTGAGAGAAGTAGAAAGCAGCAATCCCCAGGGGCCAGAAGCAACACAGCATGGAGAATAGGGCCAAGCCCAGGTGGTCCCGGGGGGGAAGCATCAGGAAATGATCCTCACTTTCACTGTCGCTGGAGGAGTCGCTCTGCAAAACGAGATGAATTCAGCAAATGCCCACGTCCCTGTGCCTCACTGCTGGCTGCATCTCAGCCCCTCACCTCCCAGCTTCTGCTGTCTCCTGGTCCCATCACATATTTTCATATGATTCCCACCAGCAAATTCAAGGAGTAAATTTCAAAAATATTTTAGACTCTTCAGCGTGGTTTGATGAAGAACAACGTAGCTCAGCAAATTCAAAAGTGGAATGGATTCTTGGCTCACTGCCAGAGCAAATGCTGAGCTCACTTGCTGGGGGTCTGGGATTTCCCTGCATCAGAGAGAGTCTTAAACTGAAATATCTTCAGCTTTGGCAGAACTGACTGTTTGTCAGCTTAAACAAACTTAAACAAAGTGCCTTATCCCCATTAGAGACTAGGAGATCAATATCCTGCTAAACTAATTTAGGAAGTGAGGGAAAGCAGTTGAATTGGAGCCTCCATTGCAGGGGCAACATGCCCTCTCCCCCCAGTAAGTACATTGCTTAGCGGCTGCAGTCAACAATCCTGGCCAGCGTCAGACTGCCCTAGAAGTGATTTGTCTCAGAGGGGAAGGCACGCAGACATGGGAACACCCCTGATTCCATCTGAAAAGGCCACATCACCAACACCAAGAGCAGCAGAACTGTGCTGGCTCATCAGACATCAGCTCCAGTGGGTTCTGGGGACCCACTTTCACCTCTCAGGGTCCTGGATGATGTTCCCAGCCTTGGCACCATTGCTCAAGTCACGGTGGGGCACAGTGCAGCAACGAGGCTGCTTTGTCAGCTCTCCTTCTTCCTTTGCAGGATTCATCCTGTCTTTATATATAGCTTTTTCTCAGCTGCTGCCATCAGGCAGATGAATTTTGCTGTTATGCAAGAATTGCTGCTTCTCCTCAGCTCAAGTGCCACAGCAACAGCAGGCTGCCCTTGTCAAAGGGTCCCCATATCCCAAGGGTCCTGCAGAGACCCACCTCCCCTTTGCTCCCAGCAGCCTGCAGCCAGGCTGCTTTTAGGAAACCTGACCTCTTTCTGAGGTCAGCACTGAGGCAAAAGGAGCAGAAATGATAAGGAGAAAGAAGAAATACTGGGTGCACAGGGAGACTGGTGAGTCAGGAGATAGTAGGGTGCGAGGGGAGTTCTGGGTAAAAAAATAAATTACCGAGAATTTGAGCCCATGTCCAGAATTACCACAGGAATTTAGTGCCATCCCATCTGGCAAAGCTCACCTCGTACTCCTGGAGCTCATCTTCCTCCACCTCATAGGACACAGTTTGGATGCGGATGTCACTGTCTACCAGGCAGGACCCTTGCGCCTCGTGCCTTTCAGGAGCTTCGGATAGAGCCTCTTTGCTCTCCGTAAAAGTGGTTTCGCAGCTTTCTGTTTTGCTGTCCTTGGCCTTGAGAGTGGTCTCATCCTTCACAAGGATGAAACTGGGGCCGTACAAGGCTTCAACAGCCAGCTGCAGGGAACTGGCATCCAGCAGCTGGTGAGTCCTGGCACTGCCAGTGTTTTGGAAGATGTAGGAATACAGTTTCCCTTGGCAGTGATGACTGGGGTAGTCCTGGCTGTTATGCTGGTGGTAAGAATAGCTGCTGCGAAGGTGTCCGTTGGCGTTGGCCAAGAGTGGGTTTTGCAGCTCACGCACGCTCTCCATGCTGTTGGTGGTAGGGGGGAAGAGATCCTGCAGGAGCAGAAACGGTAAAAGGCTGTTATTACGGCAAGGCAAGGGAGCAGAAAAGCCTCTCGCCGATGTTGAGATGAGGATAGTGGGAACAGAAAATATTGGCAATAATGGAGAAAACAAGAGTCCTCCCCACCTCTGCACAGCTTGAATGCTATCTCGGCAAACGGAGCATCTCTTCGTCTCTCCCCTGCTGGTAGTTAGATAAGGATGCAGCCCTGCAACAAGATGATCTGATTCAGACTGGATTAAGATGAGGATTTGGCCACGTGCAGCCTGACAGGAAAGGACCTACTGCATCTTTTCTGCTGGTTCATAATATGTGCTGCCTAACAGACATCACAGAAGTAGTTAAGATACTACCAGTCACTCAAGGGGGCTGTCTGACTTCCCAAAGCAGAGTATTGCATGGTGAATTACAGCCCTCTGAAGATTACAGAGACACCTAACTGACTTTCAGGTACATGGGAGGTTCTCTAGGGCTCTTCCAAGGTTGAGCTGCACCTGGGGCAAGAGCAGTGAGCCACCAAGGGAAGCCAGGGGGCTGCTGTAAGGATGTGGAGGTGGTGTTTAGGCTGGGGTGGGAGTGTTGGATGCCCAGCTAACCATGAAGAGGAACGAAGAGATGCGAGATTAAAGGGGAGACCCCAGGGGGTTTGGTCCACTTTGAAATGATGACATTCTAAGTAAATGATCCATCACATCAAAGCCCTGTTTAAACCAGCTCCACCCTTGGGTACAGCAGCAGCGGTAGAGCCTTGGCTCTGGGCCACCAGCTTCAGAAAATTCTGAGTCCAAATGGGATCCTCAGCTGCAAATGTCAACATGGGTTTATTCCTTGGGGAAATTTACCTCCCTCCCCCTTCCTCCATTTCAGAGGGCTGAAACTTTGTGCTGCTTTTTTTTTTTTTTTACCCATGAAAATTTCTGAGATTAAATATTTCCACCCCTTTTCTTCAGAGGAGCATTTGCTATTTTGGCTTCACAACCCACCTTGGCACAAAGAAAACATGCAGTGAAATATCCTCAGGAGAGAGAAACAATTACTTTGTGCTCTTCAACCCCGAGCCCTGCATTTTATGGTCTCTCTCTAGCACTTTCCTAGCTCCTAGACCATGCCACCTCATTGCCTTGTAACCCCAAATGTTCCTGTCCTTCTTAGAGATCTCAGTCATGGAGTCCTCTGCAGGATGCTGTGTAGCAGGGGAACACATCCTCCTGCTATAGGATTCCCCAAGGTGCACTAGGCTGGCTTTCTCACAGACAGCACATCACCTTGGCTTTAAATCTGTCCTCAAGGAGGAAATAAAAGTAAAGGAGTTGAAGACCCCAGAGAGTGAAAAGCTAAAGTGGTCCCTTGGCCAAACTCTGCCACCCCATGCAGGTTCAAGGGCTATACATGGTTTTAAATGGACCTGTCCATGGGCTTAGTTCTGGCAGCGGTCATCCCATTTTGGAAAGCTGATAAGGAAAATGGAGTTGTGCTGCTAAAACTGCATTTTGGTGAAGGCCCTCCTCTTCTCCCTCCTCCAAACCATTCTCTGCCTTCTGCAGTCTCCCACCTTACTAATAAATGGCTGTAATGGCTTGTGCAGCAGATGGCTGTTAAGTATTTTCAAAATATTTAAGGGAGATGCATATTTGTATCAAAGGTGGCTTTATTTCCTGCACAGACCCAGAGAAGCTCAAAGCTTCATCCCAGTTTTCAGGCAAGGAAGCCACAATCCTCTTCTTTACTTACCTTAACATGCAAATTAGATTTCTAATAAAATATCTTGCTTTTGAATAAAACAGTAAGAAGAGACCAATCACTGAGTGTTATTTGAGAGCAGCAGCCCAAGCAGAAGCAGCAGCCCAGCATTAGTAAGAGAAAGTTGGCAGTTTTGGTACAGCATCCATGCCTCATCTCAAGAAATGCTTCTGACAGCAGGCTAGGGTAGGGAGGAATGGGATTTTGCTGCAAGCTGCTGAAGGGAGCTGGCTCCAAATGTGCTGAGAAACACCAGCATTTGGACTGCGGGCAGGCTGCCGGCCACCGGGCAGTGGGTGCTGCCTGTGTGGAAGTTGCTGCACTTCTCTCTTTGGGTCTTCTGCAGCAGGTTAGAGAAAGGGAAGAGCTGTGTGGGAAAGCTACACATTCACAGCAGCTAGTGCTGGGAAACAGAGCGTGGGGGAGAAAGAAGGGAAAGGAGCTGGGAGGAACTGGAAACCTAAAAGGCAGCTTGGGAGGTGCCAGAGAACCAGTGTGGGATGAGTGCATCTATGCAGCTGGGCTGCTGCTGGACATGGACTCATCTGACTTTGGGCTGGGAGATAGCTCACTGACCTGGGCTGCGGGGAAGAGGCAGGTAGTGAGCATCCCAGGATGAACATTTCTTGGAAGAGTAATAGTGTGGGTAGCAAAAGAAACCACGGGAAAATACTGCTGAAGCATGGGGAAGTTTCTGTGAATGTGGGCTGGGAAGGGCTGAAGGCTTTGTCCCAGGAAAGGAGGGAGAACCCAAACCCCTTTGCTTCCTCAAACTGCCCTTTGGGGGCTGTCCTTAGAACAGGGACAGGATCTCAGAGCTGCTGCACAAAGTGTGAACAGGGCAGGGCTACAGCTAGAGGGATTTAGTACATGCTAGTCTTGTACCTTCTGGGACTATAAAAGATTCACCTCTATTAAACTCCCTTTTCCTTGCTGCCTTCCACTCTTGGGAGCTGGAGCTGATGCTCTCCCTCAGAGCACGATAGGGCAATAACAGAACTACAAGGATGAGGGGAAAAGTGCAGAAGATGTCACTGTGCTTCTGATGAATAGGTAAAAGGACCACTAAGTGCAGCCCTAGTGCCCAGTCCTGGCATTTGTCAGAAGTGGAGAGGGGACACTGAGGGCCAGAATCACAAATGCTTATAGCAGTATGCTGTAGTGTGTCCCTGCTGAAAAGCAGCCAGGCTGAAACCTTCCTATCCAATAGCTGATGTGAAGAGTCCCGGTGACAGAGGGATTAGAGTTGCATCCCACTCCTTAGTCACCAAGATCAGCACGTCACATAGAGACCGTGCACCAAACGATCTGGGTTTGCAGGTATAGACTAGGGCCATCAGACCCCTAGAGATAACATTAGAGAGGGAATGGCAGAGAGGGCGAGGACCAGCCCTGCATGCACACACACAGGGAAGGAAAGAGCTACACCAGCCCTGCAGTTGTCCCCAAACCCCTTTTGGGTTATCTGAATCCTACAGTGAATTTAGCTGCACAGGGCTTAATAAAGTAAGCCTAGTAATAAAGTAAGCCTGGTAATAAAGACAGCTTGTTAATAACCAAGCTTGGGGAAAGGAATGAAGCCAGCAGATGAAAGCAAGGAAGCCATAAAAGACAAAATTGGCAAAGAATGGCCATTCTCTGACCTCATTACCAGCAACACAGGATAGCGTGCATATCCATCAGCCCCATGAGGCTTATCTGGGCAGGACTGGCAGCAGGTAATGGTGGTGAGATGCTGCTAGGTGCACAGGGAGCACACATGCACAATGTGAGCACAGGGGGAGGGCACACCTGGGAAGAAGCAGACTTCAGTGCCCTCGCTGAGCTGAACCATTGCTGCAGCTCTACTGACAACTGACAGCTGTGGGCTCCCTGCTGAATTGCCTCCCCCTCTGTATGGCTGCTCCTGTAACCAGCTGGCTGGGTAAGGGCCCCCATGCTCCCCAGCCTGGTTGCAGTGGTCCCTAGTAGAGCGAGATATGCATAGCTGTGTTGTTTACTCATCTTCTCAAGGCAAGTACTAGGTAAAAGGAGCCAAAATAAGGCATAAAAATAAGGAGGTAGCAAATACAGCTTTGTGTTTCATAGATCTCACCTCCACACCACATCCCCTGAGGCAGTTCTCAGAGGGACCCTTGGCACAGATGCCAGCTATGATAAGCCAGTTAATGATGAATTAAGTAGCTGTTCCAGGAATCAATCATCACTTAATTGCCCTGTCAGGCAAACACTCTGCCTTGCTTCCCGGGCTCATTAGCAGGTTGCGGCTGTGATGCATGTCCCCAGACTCCTGAGTGAGGTTAGCCTACCCCAACCAATGGCTTTTCCCTTCAGGATAGCACCTTGGGGAGTGATGCCCTGCTGCACTGCCATGCCCTGGCTGGTCCAAGGACAGGGGACAGGGTGAATGCCTGTTTCTGATCCAGCTGATGTGAAGCAGCCACATCACACAGCATCACAGCCAGGTACAGCTGCCATATCCCTGGGACAGAGGTGGGCCTGCTCCTGATGGAGTAGAAAAGCATATGAGATATGTCAAGCACCCTTTCCAGAGTCCAGACCTTCCTAGAAGCTCTCAGGAGGTGCTTTGGGGCTTCTTGGGCCTTCTAACTGAAGGCCCAAGTCTTCCCAGGAGACAGTACCTCTGCCTCTGGACATCCAAGCTTGCAATTCTGCTCAAGAGAAAATCAGCTTGCAAGGCTGCCGAGAAGCAAAGGCAGAGCATCACAGGGAGGGAAGATGTCATTTTGGAGAGGTAATGGATGAAGGAGGATGAAGGAAAGGCAATGAAGGCTCATGGACAGTGTGTCTGGCAGGGGCAGACCAAGCCCTCTCTCAGCCCCGGGAGCCCACACAGCAGCGTGGATATCTGACATGTCCCAGCCCTGAGCCCCACTGGGTTAACCACAGCTCAACAGGAGAAGGAATTGCTTTCATCAGCCCTGCAGAGATGTCTGCAGAAAGCAGTTTTGCTCTGGCCAACACTCAAGCCCGTCTCCTCATCACTGCTCTTGCCTTGGGTACAGCACCAGCGTGCAGAGTGAGGGATTGTTCATCCCTGGGATGTAACAAAGCCTTCAACAGTCCTGGGAAAGGTTGCTGTGGCAGGAGCATCAGATGAAGTGGTTGGGGGGTTGGAAAGGGCAGAGGGAGCACGTTAGGTACAGCACTGGGAAGGGAAATGGTGGGCGAGAGGCAAAGTGACATCTGAGCCAGGCAGAGAGCTGGACCCTGGCAATCAAGATGAAGAAGAAAAGGAGGGAAAAGAATTGGTGAGGACCAGGAGAGAAGGAAGGTGACACAGAGCCTGTGGACATGGATTAGAGGAAGGATAGCTGACGCGTTTGTGATGTAGAGCATCTGATTCACAACTTTGATGCAGCCCATTTGATAGAGCTGGAAAGGAGTGAATAAAATGCTTGTTCTGATCTCCTGACAGGGTGGAAAGCCAGTGCCTAGGCAATGGGCTCCTGGCTCCAACAGAGACTAAATTGCTCTGAGAATTGGGA